CCACGGTGGCACTTCGGTGTCCAAATGCGCCGCGCCGCCCTGAGTCGTCTTTGTTTTCCTGGCGAGGCAGCTCCTCCTGACCCGTATCCTTCCCAGCACTCAGACAGGAGCCAGCAGAGGATCCCCGAGGCCACCGGGTGCTCCCAGCCGTCCCCTCGGGTGCCATTCCTGCCCTGACCCCGCGGTGCCACCCCCGTGCTGCAGCCGGGAGCCAGCGGGGAGCGGAGGGGCGCAGGCAGGCCGGAGCCCGCTGGCCCCTCAGATGCTCGTCTGCAGGTCACCGTTGAGCAGGGTCCTCTGCGTCTCCGTGGTCTCGTTGAGCCGGGATTTGTCCTGCTTGCTGTCGCTGCGGTCGGCCTCGTCCATGCCGCTGACCTTCACCAGGCACAGCACGTTCTGAAAGCTCTTCTTGAAGTTGTCGGACAGGAAGGCGTAGAGGATGGGGTTGGCACAGCTGTTGGCGTAGCTGAGGACCACCACGAAGTCGAACATGCCCTTGAGGACGGGCGTGGGCACGATCATGACGGACACGGAGGAGACGTTGAAGATGTAGAAGGGGAGCCAGCAGAAGATGAAGACGGCGACCACGATGGACACCATCCTGGTGACTTTCTTCTCCGACTTTTTCCTCTTGGAGGAGCCCACCCTGATGCCCGAGGACTTGACTTTGATGATGATGAACAGGTAGCAAAGGCAGATAATGGTGAGAGGCACCAGGAAGCCCAGGATGAAGGCGTAGATGATGAATCCCGTGTACCAGGCGCCCGACTCTCCCGGCCAGATGATGGTGCAGCTACTCCTGCCGTGGTTGTGCTGCACCCCAGCGTAAATCATGATGGGCATGATCACCAGCAGGGAGACGCCCCAAACGGCCACGTTGATCATTTTGGCTGTCCTGGGCCGCCTCCACTTGGCAGATTTGATGGGATGGACGACAGCCAGGTACCGGTCAACGCTCATAACCGTCAGGCAGAAGATACTGGTGAACTGGTTGATGCCATCCACCGTCATGACGATCCTGCAGAGGGCTTTGCCGAAGGGCCAGTGCACCAGGGCCACCTGCATGGCCAGGAAGGGCAGCCCGAGCATGAAGAGCTCGTCTGCGATGGCCAGGTTGAGGATGTAGATGTTGGTGATGGTTTTCATCTTGGCGTAGCGGAGGATGACGTAGATGACCAGCGTGTTGCCGCACAGGCCGATGATGCACACCACGAAGTAGATGAAGGTGAGGATGGCGTTGCTGGTCAGGTCGAAGTGCTGGCCCGTGGCGTTCTGGGAGGTGTTGGTGGGCGCCTCCAGGGAGAAGTTGTCAAAGGGGGACGCCGGGGAGAACCAGAAGGCGGTGGCATTGGGCAGCTCGAACTCTAGCTCCATGGTTCTGCTGCTCCCTGGGCACTGCAGGCTCAGAGGAGCCGAGATGTCATCTTCCCTGGCTCTGGGGAGAGAGGAGAAGATTCTAGAAATCCAGGGAGTAAATAAAAATGAAGGGATTCCTGGGGAGGATGTGTCCATCCTGCTGCCAAGCTCAGCGGGAGAGAGGCTCCCTGCAAGGGGTGTTCCCACCCCAGCTCCCCACGTCCCCTCCTGGAGCAGCCTGCCCGAACACACCACAGCTCCTCCTGGCTCTGCCGATCCCGGAGCCTTTGCGACTCCGCAAATCCAATCCGTGCGTCCCGGTGGGTGCGACTGATGCCCGGGAGCACCGAGCGAAAAAAAAAAAACCTCCTCCTCTCTCTGCCGCTGGGCGGGTGCAGCCCCTTCCCTCC